ATTATCAACAACAAAAAAAAAATTGATGCAGATGTCGTTGCTACAAAAATTTTAATTTTATTTTTGTTATTTTTAGTTTTAGCTATGTGGGTGGACTTTTTATTTTTATTTTATTAGGGTTAATTGTTAAAAATAGGATTTTAGGTTTGTTTGATGGAATCCATTTTTAGCAAGTTTTTTTTTTTTTAAAGTTAATAAGAGTCCATTTTCTTTAGGAAAGATAAGTCTATCTTTAAGTCTGTCTTTCTTTCTCTATTTATGAGCTTTTTTAGGAAGGTTTCTATTAGATGGGTTTTATCATTTAGGTTGGGACGTGGATGAAATCATCTGAAGATAGATTTGTTTTAATTAGTTATCATTTTGGTTATTTGATAGGGAGATATTTTAGGAGGGTGGACGTCGAATTGTAAAGATGGATTTTGGTTGACTGAAAAAAGTTTGTTGTTGAGAGAGAGTGAGAGAGTGCCCTTTTTGTGGGTTTTTCTTTTATGTGCTCTTGCGGTGCGTGGTGGAGGATTCAAACTCCCACATCTATGCTTTCTTCTGGCTTATTTCTTTTTCAATTTTTTATTTCTCTCTCTAAAACGGGGTTGTATTTACCGAATATTGGCAGCCAATAATTTTCTTGTATATTGTGGTGTTCGTTGATATCATGGCTCATGGACATGTAACGATAATGAACTCATCCAGCGAGAATGAGACCTCCGAGATATTGAGATAGAAGAATTGAGAAGGCAAGTTGAGGAGTTGACCCAGTGCTTAATGGAAAACCCAACAACGACACAATGTGATGATGGTAGTGTGTCAGACGCTCTTTTCAACTACCCGTTCTATACGCACACTCTGCATCGGGAGCCCCATGTTTGGGAGAATAAATCATGGGACTTAATTGATCTACATGATTTGAAGGGAAACGAGGTTGATTTTGTGGTGATCGTATCAGAAATCAACAGGTTGTAGATTGGGATCTGCCACCAATTTTTTATCATACTTTGATGAAAATCAAGGTTTTGTAGGAGATCTGATCTGTAATGATGATCAAGATTACGTGACCATTATTTGAAGAAAAAAAAAAGAAGGCCTCAAAAGAGAATCAATAGATGAAATTCGTTTGACCATTGAAAAAAATGCTCATTTCAAAGATGCATATATGATGTGCTCTAAGCTTAAGTTTGAACAATTTCAGTAAGTTTTTGTGGTTGAATGGACTCTATCAACATACAATGACTCTTTCCTTGGGGGCATATCATTTTCAATACACGATCGTTGTGTTATGGTTAGTGCGATATCCCATAAGTCCTAGGATTGTGTTTTACAATGTTTGAATTGAAGAAGATTGTGATGATGTTGAAAAAATTATCTTAACCCAATTCAAAACTCAAGTTCGAGTTTTCTCCAACGAGGGGAAAATGATGCAGATCAAGATCTCGTTGCTACAAAATTTTATTTTTATTTTTAAAAATGTGGGTAAACTTTTAATTTTTTTATTAAGGTTAATTGTTAAAAATAGGATTTTTAGGTTAGTTTGATAAAATCCTTTTTTAGCAAATTTATGTTTTTAAGATAATAAGAGTCCATTTTATGTAGGAAAGATAAGTCTTTCTTTTGATCCATTTTTCGTTCTTTATTTTTGAGCATTTTTAGGAAGGTTTCTATTAGATGGATTTTATTATTTGGATTGGGATGTGGATGGAAGCATCTAAAGATAGATTTGTTTTGATTAATTATCACTTTAGTTATTTAGTAGGGAGATATTTTAGGAGGTTTAGATAGTTGTGTAAATAGGGTGGACGTCCCATTGTTAAATGTATATTTGGTTGAATGAAAAAAGTTTATTGTGAAGAGAGAGTGAGAGCCCTTTTTGTGGGTGTTTCTTTTTTGTGCTCTTATGGGGCGTGGTGGACTCGAATTCTCATGTCTATGCTTTCTTCTTGTTGATTTCTTCTCAAATTTTTTATTTCTCTCACTAGAATGTGTATTTGCCGGATATTGGTGGCCGGTAATTTTCAATGGCATCATGAAGCCCATATTGGTCCAAGTTTTGAAGATCCATCTCATGACCATTTGCAAGATTTACATATTTTTCACCTTCGTTTAAGCACTTTTAGTTACTAAAAATAGATTATTTTCGATATTTTGGGTCTCTAATCTTAGAGAATGGAGATTGAGGACGATGTCGCACAGAGAATTAGAGCCGAGTGGGCAAAGTGGAGATGTGCATCTGGAGTTTTATGTGATTGCTGCATACCAATGAAACTGAAGGTGAAGTCCTATAAGACAGCTATAAGACCAGCCATGCTATATGGGATAGAATATTAGGCGGTCAAACAACAACATACCGTAAGATAAGGGTAGGTGAGATGAGGATGTTGAGATGGATGAGTGGCATGACAAAAAAGGATAGTATTCGGAATGAATATGTTGGAGGGAATTTAGGTGTGGCTTCAATGAGCGATAATATGAGGGAAAGTAGACCTAGGTGAGCTGCCATATGCAGTGTAGGCCTAATACAATACTGTTTAGGAGGTGCGATTTGGTTCAAGTGGAAGGCTTTAAAAGGGCAAGGGGAATGCTCAAAAGGATATAGATAGAAGTAGTGAAAAAAATATATGGTGACTTATTGTTTTACTGAGGGTATGGCCCTTGATACAGCAGAATCGCAGAACATGACTTGTGTAACTGACCCTAAAAAGTTGGGGTGATGTTTTTTGTGTTGTTTTTGGTATATTTTTTTTTGCATTATTAATTTTGGATGAGATTGTTTATTTGTTAAAATACATTTACTATTGTAGATCAAGCATCACATTTTTCTTGTGTTTTTGAGAGACCCCCACAAAAAAAAGACATTGATAACTACTGGAAAAATCTACCTTGGAGATGGCGATTATGAGGCCAAATGGCGATATTTTCCTATATTGGTCCTACTCTGCATCGATATTTTGAAATGAATGTACAAAGTTTGCTACATGGACATAATTTGAGCAATCTGAACCTTGTAACAAAAAGATGGCTAATTGGAAGCCCACTATACCTTTGTTGGTCTAATTGATGATATCTTTGTTATTTAGGGATTGATGCACTTCACCACCATGGAAAAAAATTGAAATACAATATGGGAATTATATTGAACAAATAATAATGTTGCAAGATTTACTAGCTTCCGATGGACATTGTGAATCACAACTAAGGTGAATCCTTGATGTATTGTTTGGAATTCTTAGAAGGCATGTGGGAGGAGCTTAATTTTCATGTTCCTCAATGGTGTAATGTGCTCAGCATGTTTTATCATGCTGGCGCCCCCGTTTGCCTTTTTATGAGATGGAGTACAATCGGCTCCCATCCACCAAAAGAGGAAAGGGGCTGACACCCTCTTTAACAAAATAACAAATTTATTACATACTCTTCGAACTGAGAATATTATTCTTTTGAATAAAGTAATTGGGTACATGTTTGGAAGAGGAAAGATATGGGGAATGGGTTGGTAGAGATCTAGTTCCACATGAATTCCATCTGGAATCTTGAGAATGCTGTTTCATGATGGGAACACCGTCATAAGGAGGTGTTCCCTATGGCTGAAAGTTCTTTTTTTTCTTTGTTAATTTTAAGTACTAAGGATTGGTATTGTAGTGTGGTTGGTGGTATTCTTGTTATGTTCAAGAGAAAAAATATAATCATGTGGCAACATAAGGTGCTGAAGCTATAGAGCAATCACGTCTAGAGGTCATGAGTTGGTCTAGGTAAAAGAACTTCACCCGAGCATTGCTATCCTGTCTACTTGTTCCATGGGTATGTTTTTTTGACAATGAGGAGATCAATAATTTCTCAATATTACTTTTCTATGGGTGCGAAACATTTAAATGGATTCATTAGTGGAGAAGTTGTTCTCGTCATTAAAACTGCATATGTAAGGGCTGAAATCAACTTGTAAACATCATCATGAAAGAATTTAGAGAAGGTGGATTTTAATATATTGTAGAGACGTTGGGCATTATGAATATACATGGAGCAACATGAGGTGGGACTGTTGATTGTGAAATGCCTTTCATCACTTATACGATCTTTCTTCATTGCTTAATGGACTTCAAAAGCAATTGTGCACAATATACTGAAAAGTGTTGGGGACAATTAGGTGATTGAGGGTCCCCACTGTCTAGTTGCTTACCACTTATACCATCTTTCATTGCTCAATGGACTTCAAAAGTAATTGGGCACAATATACTGAAAAGTGTTGGGTACAATTAGGTGAATTGGGGGTCCCCACTGTCTAGGTGCCTCGGAATTTTTGTTTTTAATTAAGAAAGCAGGGAATTCTCTCTCATGGAAATTAGAAGCACTGTATTATAAAATATTGATTATAAAGAAAAGCATTGGTGTTATTTGCACCATAGTTACCTGTATGTAATTTAAGGTGTTGCTCCTGCTTGTGCAACTTGGTTTCGTGTTCTAGGGGTTGGGAATCTGTTCTGATTCTCTTGGAGAACATTCCCGGTCTTCTTGAGAACTATTTTCACTAATGTTGTTAATGAAGAACACTCTCTCTCCTTTGGCAGGTGTCATCATGGGACCTACGAAATGTATTACAAAGTAAATTTTGGGTTTTAAAGAAGGGGGAACAATGTCGCTCTGAACGAAATTTGACATAGAACTCAAGCATCAAGTCTTTTCTTAGTCAAAGTTCCTTATTAAGCTCCATTGGAACAAGTAAAAGCTTATATTCCACATGGGAGGAGTTGAATATCAACTAAGGATTCTGGCATGATGTTTGGGATGCTATATAACTCAGATTCTTTCGTATGAGTGGTTTACTCATGTCGGACACATATAGACGTTTGTAGCTACACAATTTTCTTATATTTTTCTACTTATTGCAGAACTTTATCTTGGACTCTTGGTATTAACTTGTTAGTTTTTATTAGATGTATTTGATCATTGAAAATCAGTACCTTTTTGGCAACTGATTGCCGCTTTATACTGCAAACATTTGCCTATGTCCACTCTAGCCTAATGTGGAGTCATATGATTGCTATGTTATGAGTGTTATGTAACTTAAGTACCTATGGTGAGCTACATTTTTTCATTCCAGGATTCAAAATGTTTTTAGAATGTACTCCAAATATCTCCAAAACATGAATCGAAGCTAAAACATTTGATTTCAAATCACTTTTTCTCTGTTGTAGCTATGACCAGGTGGCGCAGGTTGCAACTTCTGTAATATTTTTGCAGACTGCACTGAGCACCTTTTAATAATTCCCGTCTCTCCAGTCTTATGTGCTTACCCTGAAATTTTAGCACAAAAAGACAGACACGGAAACAAAGAACAAATCATAGCTTGTCCTTGGATCAGTTGCTGCCACGTAGCCGATAGGTGCTCCATAAATAGTAAAATCTGCTTACCTGAAAATTGTCCTAGAATCACCTCCTTGGACTTCGTAAAATCCATGTAATTTCCCCAGATCGATGGCATACCAGCTAGAAAACCATTTTGCTTTGTCTCTGTTTTAGATGAATTTTAGAGACTAGAGTTGCGGTTTACGTGTCCTCTTCCTCCTCTGTGTTCTTAATCTCTTAGTCAAGGAGATGGAAGTAGCCTTAAAACTTACATTCTCAACAATGAACCTCTGTGAATATCTCTCTCTTTCTCTCTAACCTAAAAGTATTGAAAAAGGACATTTCTGTTTTTGGATGGGGAAAAATATACATGGAGTTGCTGGATACTAGGCTTCCTCTCTACTAAGATCTCTCATACTAAGAGTGGGAAGAACAAAAGTCCTTATCGTAGGTTCCACCACCCATTCCACCCCCCCCCCCCTCCCTCTCTCTCTCTCTCTCTCTCTCTCTCTCTACTACTAACCTACTACTACTACTACTACTACTACTACTCTCTCTCTCTCTACTACTACTACTACTCTCTACTCTACTACTACTCTACTACGTAGTACGTACGTCTACTCTTCTC